ATCACCAGAGAAAGGTGCACGCTACCATGGATCTAATAAATACAACCTTTCTGCAAAGTTAGGTTCTGGTGCATGTACTAGCTCTAGAATGGCCACAGTTATCCATGTAGCAAGTCTAACGGTCTAACTGTTGTGCAGTTGAACTCTGGCTTTTGTCGTCGAAGTACCGTGAAGTTGGGCAATGTCAGTGTTTACGTGACTCGGTGGCACATGCTGGTGGCTTGATCGGAAAGGAATACTGGCTTGGGGTTCAGGGTGTCCAGTAGAGTCTGCGGCTTCGCGGCTGAAGATGTTTCTCTTCGTCGCCGCAGGCTCCGCGCCGTGCGAATGAGGCTTGAGCCATTCGGTGTTCCGCGGTGTAAAGAAAGTTGTCAACCAATCGGTTTCATGACACATGCAATGCGAACTCGTGGGACCTGCAAAGGGTACTCACTCTGCATGTATACAAACCACGCTCACCCTGCGAAAATTCAATGGCAATGTCTGTGCAAACGAAGATCATTCCAGCAATGCCTGTCCAAGCTTTAAGCACGATTTACACATACATCCAAATTGCACGCTGCACAGGCCCGCAGAACACACACACACACACACAAAACGCACACACACACACACACACACACACACCCACACGCACACGCACACACGCACACGCACACACGCACACGCACACACGCACACGCACACACGCACACGCACACGCACACGCACACGCACACGCACACGCACACGCACACGCACACGCACACGCACACGCACACGCACACGCACACGCACACGCACACATTCATCTTCTGGGGATACGCGGTTTCGAAGCTGACACAGGCATTTAGCAAGGAAATTGAAAGTAAACGTGCTAAGTTACTGGTTATTGTATGTCACGGCGACAATATCTATGACCAATGCCTCTAGTTCGCACACAAGCCGCAATTGCAACATGACTGTGTCGCTTGGTACTGGACCAGATGGAGGTTGCCTTGTTGCGCTTGTGTACAAACAAGTCGGTGTGATAATCACAACTGTGCTGTAGTCACTTGCCTTGTCTTCTCCACTACGCTACATTCATCGGGATGTCAAGTTCCGGGGTTTTGCTGCTTGCGCAAAGCTGGGAGTTTTGGCTGTGCGATTCTTCTTCCTGAAATCACATTTGGGGCGCTAAACCTTAAAAACCCCTTTGGAGATAACAGAAAGGGCCCTGGGACCATAATGCCAAGCCTTGCTTCTACACCGACGGCTCCTGTTGGCATGCATCGTTTTACATTGACGTTCGCCGTGGCTAGATTCTAGCGGCTAGATATCGTGAGGTGCATCGTCATGCATAGACCTTGTTTTCTCCGAGATTCGTGGTCTTTGTTCGATGCCCCGGCTCGCGTTTACACCCACGGCTCGTATTGGCATAGGCATCTGCAGGCAATGCAAAACGCAGGCCACGAATCTCAGCCAGCACTGCTTCCTACTACCCCACAGCCCCGGCCTCGCGAAGCTCGGAAAACGTAGTGCGAAGACCGCCCAAGCTCTCGAGTGCGGTAGGGGCAGGCTCCGCGCCGTGCTCTGCACCTAAACCCTAAGCCATCGACACTGCATTTGCATTGTCACGCCTCGGAATGTTAGGGTTGGGACTTTAAGGCTGGGCTTCGTTCTGTCGACATTGCCGAGCGCACTGCGCCACAACCCATTGGATTGTCAAGCCTCGGCATATTAGGGTTGGGGCTTCAGGTTGTTTGAGGTTAAAATTTTCAAGCAGATCTTCTGTTCCGAAAACCCGTTCAAGCTCACAGCGAAAGCTCCAAAAACACGTTCAGGCCCACAGCCAAATCACAGCTACTGCACATGTTTCGGCTGCTTCGGCTGCTTCTGCACAGCACTGCTGCACCACCGTAGGCTTTCTCCTGTCGACATTGCCGAGCGCACTGCACCACAGCCCATTGGATTGTCAAGCCTCGGCATATTAGGGTTGGGGCTTTAAGGTTGTTTAGGCGCCGGCTCATGCTGGACCACACCTGCAGCCACTTTTGTTAGCACACAACCTGCAATCGCAAAATCACTGTTTTGGGCGCTAAGTACTGGACCATTCTTGTAAAACCGAAAACTCTCCTATCACCTGTTTCAGAGTGAACTACACCTTCAAGCTTCAGGCTTCAACAGCGAAAAGGACTACACATTCAGGCCTCATGTTGTGTTTCCAAATGAACAATAGTCATCCCACACCTCAACGATTTAGTAAATTGAATTTCTTATGTTGGTCATTGTGTTTGATGACCCGCCTTAGTTTTGCGCACACGGCTCGTGTTGGCATGTATTTTTTTGCAATGACGTTCGTTGTGGCTGGATATCGCGAAGTGTACCATCTTGCAAACACGGCTTTTTCGATGTTTGTGGTGTTTGCTTGATGCCCCGCCTTTCTTATACACCGACGGCTCCAGTTGGCGTGCGTCGTTTTACATTGACGTTCGCTGTGGCTAAATCTCGCGAGGTGCATCGTGTTGCATCGCCCTTTTGTTTTCGATTCGTGGTCTTTGTTTGATGCCCCGGCTTCCATTCACACCTACGGCGCGTCTTGGCATAAGCAACTGTATAGTGAACTACACCTTCAAACTTCAGGCTTCAACCGCAAGAAGGACTAATTCTCAATTCTGCAATGCGCGACATGCTCACATGACCGCCGGGCTCGTGCTGGACCACACCTGCAGCCACTCTTGTTAGGAAAGGCTGTGGGTGCTATGTACTGGACCACTCTCGCAAAACCGAAAACTCCCCTATCACGTGTTTCATATTGAACCACACCTTCAAGCGGGAGGATTCAACAGCGAGAAGGACTACACCTTCAGGTTCGAACAGCGAAAGGTAGAGCACCTTCAAGTTTGAACCTTCGGTTGCCGGGCTCATGCAAGATCACCGAACTCCAAGCTTGAAACTCATACGGTCCGGTCCGAACGTGCACATAAGCTTAATTGTGAGTGCAAGCCGTGTAAAGTTTAAACACCCGCAACACCGCAGGACCTGACCCAAGAACCTGCTGAGCCTTAGCCTTCGCCTGTGTTCCTGCCCCCGAAAATGCAGTCAAAAGGTATTAGGGACCGTCGCATGACTATGGCTACCCAAACCTTAATCCCCAGACCCTCGACGCTGCCCAACGCACTGCGCCATGGCATTGCATTGTCAAGCTTCGGAATATTAAGGTTGGGACTGATTCTAAGTTTTTGGGATATATGTTTTGAGCGTTGGGTGCTGTTAATAACACGCAAAGTTTTGGGATGCATGCTTTGAGCTGTGGGTGCTGTCAATAACACACAAAGTTTTGGGATGTGTCTTTGGCTGCTGCTGATAACATGCAAATTTCTGTTGGTTGTGATGTGGTGTTTGCAGATTTCGGAATTTTGTGTACTAGATTTCCCGATGGTTTTTGTTGTTTTTTGAACAGAACAATAGTCATCCTACATCTCAACCATATCGTAACTTGAACTTTTGTTGGTTGTGACGTGGCCTTTTAGGGACTTCCTTTGTTTATGTCTGGGTTTTCCCAATTTTTTTGCGTTTCAATAGAACCATAGTCATCATCCTGCAACCCAACCATCTACCAACTTGCGTTTTCTGTTGGTTGTGATGTGTTTCTATGTGGATTTCGCTTGTTTGTCGATTAGGTTTGCCAACATTTCACTTGCGCTTTCGACAAAATCATAAACATCACCTTAGACCCGAGCCATTCAGCAACGTGCTTTTTTCATGTTGGTTACGATGTGGTGCTTTGGGGGTTTCGTTTGTTTGTGTATATACGTTTCCCCCATATTTTCTGTTGTGTGTGCAATCGAAAAATAGTCATCATCATGCACTCCAGCCATTTAGTAACTTGATTTCTTTATGCTGGTTGTGATGTGCTTTTGTGGATTTGTTCTATTCGCTTTCCCAATTTTTCAGTTGCGATTTCGATAAACTATACTCATCATCTTAGACCCGAGCCATTTAGTAATTTGATGTTTTTTTTTGTGATGTTGGGTTTTGTGGATTTCGTTCGTTGGTGTCTTAGTGTTGCCAGTGTTTCCGTTGTGCAACATGAAAAAAGTCAAGTTGCTGCAAACAAACCACGGCCCTTGACACTCCCCGGCTCGGCTTGAAATACCCGGGGCGCGAGGAGGACGAAGTACCTGGCCGCGAGAAGAGAACGAAAAAAAGAGACAGGGAGAAAGAGAAAGACAGACCGAAAACAAAAAGGTGAAAACGAAAGACGGGGAACGATAAAAACATTGGGAGCTGGGTGGCGCACTTGCGACAGGCAACCCCCGTAAACCCCAAACGCTTTACCCGAACCCCGAAATGACTGCAGCAAGGCAGTAGTTCCACTTGCAGACACTTCTAACTGTCTTCCGCAAGCAAGTTTCATTTGTCCCTTGAAAGGGCAACTAAATTTGCCGTCAGCTCCTCTGGTCTTAGAACTCGCATGTACGTTTGGTTGTAAAGCGTCTCCCACCTGGCCGTCGGTGGTTCAAGACTTTGAATATCTTTTCCACGTCTTCAAGTTGCTGCACACAAACGGTGGAACCGCGGCTCACCGTCAAGGCTGCTTTGAAATTTATGAAAATTTGCGCAAAAGTCCGATACATGAAACCCTAAACCTTTCAACCCGTCCCTACCCAAAACCTCAAAGCCCTAACGCTGCAAGACTATTGCCCTGTACCCTGCGCCGAGCACCCGGCTTTTCGGCAGTACAACACCTTAGAAAGCAGCCACGATGCAAACTGCGACTTGCACAAACCCTCAACTTGTGCAGTTTTGCATGTGTTCCATCATGCTGCTCTACGAGCAAACTTGCTTTTGTAAGGTGTGACAATTTGAGGAATGCAAGTTCGTTGAACCACTCTTGAGCGACACACAGATTTTCATTGTTCTTCCAGGATTCCAGGCCGCGTGAGCAGCCTCTTTTAGAGGTGCTCAAGATTGCAATCATACCCTACGGGTGAAACAAAATTGATGTTTTTGGGCATCCTGTGCGGTGGCTCTGCTGCTCACTCCAAACAATCCACCTGCCAATGGCCGGTCTTGCCGCATCTGAAGCATTGATCACCGTATTGATGGACAGCCCAATCAGGGCGTAAGTCCGAGTAATTGTAGCCAGCCCCTTCGACGAAACCGGCATTACGAAGAGCCGACTTCCACATGCGATCATTCCGCAGCAATTGCCGAAACTTTCTGCGTCCCTGTTGGACGCGGCGCTTCTCCTGCTCATCCAGCATGGCCATGTGGAATGCCGAAGCCTTTGGGCAAGCTTGGCAAAGTTTCCGGGCGACCCAATTCCGCAACTGCGTGGAAGTCATGCTGTCCAACCGGTCAATCAACTTCAAACCGCTGTGAGTCGACACCCGGCTTAAAGCCACGTAGCCCATATTGTCGTGGAACACTTTGCTTACATGCGCCGCCGCATGCGTGAGTGTCATTCCTTGCGCTTTGTGCAAGGTGGTGGCCCATGCGAGGGCCAAAGGAACTTGCTTCCTCCTTGCAAGGTATGGTCCCCCGACCTCTGACTGGATGTAGGCACCGAAGCATGGCATTGTCGTCCGTGTGCCACCGTCGCCGTCCAGCCACACAACAGGCCACCCGTCATCGAATCCGATCACAATGCCCTGCATTCCACGGTAAATAGATTTGCTGTTTTGCACATGTGTGAGGCGCACTGGCGCCCCGACTTTGAGTACCAGCTGTCTGGGGCACTGCTCATCCAGGCCAACTTCCAACTCCTTCCTGCTATGGACAGTCACGTCCGGATGGAAGAAATCCTCTGCATCAAATGAGACCGCCTCTCCTTCCAGTCTCAGCAACCTCGATGCATTCACGCTTTCCACGTCTTCATTTTTGGCATACATAGATAACTGCTCAAATGTTCCTTTGCGGCGCGCTGCAGCAAGCAGGAGGCCTATGTCTGTTTCACGCAGGTAGCCGTACCGCAGTCGCTTGAGGAAACCGTGGAAATCGGGATCTTCCCTTTGCCGATGTGGTCTGCGCAAAGTGTGCTGTTGCTGTGGCTCAGCAAACAAAGCCTTCCAGCATTGAGCCTCGAAGGCGAGTTTCGTGCTTTTAACTGGCCGGATTTGCATGAAGTCACCCGAGAAGATGCAACGGATGCCCCCGAAAAGAGCTTCTGATTCGCGTACCATGCGGCAGAGCTGCTCAAGATTATCAAGAACTGTTGGATGCAGCATCGAGACCTCATCCACAATCAGAACCTTCACGCGGCGAAGCCTATCTAGGACGGCCTCTGAATCTTGTCGACTCTGAATGAACTTCATCGCTTCTTCGGCGGATGCCTCAAGCTTTCCAACATTCACCCCAGCGAACCAATGTACAGAAGTGCCGCAAAGTCTGCATGCGGCATTCCAAGTTGGTGCTGCCACTGCAATGGGATTGTCGCGCAGAGTCTCCTTCAGATGCTGCAAAAGATACGACTTTCCAGATCCTGCCTCTCCAGTCAAGAACAAATGTTGCGACTCTGCGACTTCCTTGGCCTTCTCCTGCCACCTCAGAAGTACTCAATCCACACTCTGGGCTCTTGCTAAGGAACACGTTTCCAGTTAGCAACATTACCAAGGGCTAAACACCCCAGAGATCCCTTTAGTCTTGAATAAAGGAGCACGCTTACCCCATAGACGGAGCCTTATCCTATAATTACATGAATAAATATTTGATATGATTCGTGCCATGTTGCATAATTTGAGGATACTGGCCTCGTCTCCCTTCCCTGGAAAGCTTCACAGGACCCTCCGGATTTTTGGTTTAAGCCCTAGGCCCTACACTCAAAGCCCTAAATCCGCCTGTCCAAGTCGTTCTGCACATGGGGTGGCGTGGTAGGCTCCTCGGGGGCTTGTCGTCGTCGACGAGGCGTTCGGGAGCGGCTAAGGCATGCCATCAGACACTCGTCTTCATCGTCTTCTTTGTCGTAACTCAAGAAGCTGCTGAGCCGTCGCCGTGCGAATGAGAGTGTTTCGTCACGGTGTTTTGATGTCTTTTTACTCTCTGCTGCTGGGGCGTTCTTGTTTTTTTCTTCGTCCATCTCCAACACGACATCGCTGCTGGAGTCCAGGTCCATGGGCATGGTCGAAGCCTGCAGCTTCCCAAACCGGGCTGCTGGGTGGTCATCCTTCCTCACCAGAGCCATGTGCGGCTTCGCGGCTTGAAGTTTTTTCTGCCGCTGGCTCCGCGCCGTGCGGGATGAGGCTTGAGCCTGAGCCTCTTCCAGGCTGAGCAGGAACGCCGCGGCCAGCAACTCACTGCCGGCGACCAGGGCCAAATCCTCCGGTGTCATGCCGCTGAAGAATGCTAAGTAACAAGGGTCGAGGCTTCAGTGTTCAGGGTGTCGTGTTTGACACAAATCCGATGCTTAATTCCCTCCCTTGAGCTACCTTAAACGAAAAATCATGCCACGAGCAGGTTCACTAAGGATATGCGGCATCGGAACTCTTCGGTAGAACACAGGCACTGAGCAGCGAGGTTGCGTACTTCAGCGAGAAACGCAGGCAAACGTTTTAAGTTACTGCTACTTGTATTCACGGCTACAACATCTCTGACATAAGCTAAATTTTGATACGGCATGGGCGCTTGGTACTGGACCACACCTGCAGCCACTGACCAATGCCCTTTTCTTAGCACACAAGCTGCAATCGCAAAATGACTGTTTTGGGGGCTTGGTACTGGACCACACCTGCAACCACAGACCAATGCCTAAGCTGCAATCGCAAAACTGTTCTGGGCGCTTGGTACTGGGCCACACCGACCAGATCTACATAAGCCTGCGAAGCTTGACTGCGTCGAGAGAGATGGAGGTTGCCGTGTTGCGTTTGTGTACAAAACGTTCGTTTTGCTTATGCTCCACTACACTACGTTCTTCGGGATTTCAGGTTCCGGGGTTTTGCTGCTTGCGCAAAGCTGGGAGTTTTGGCTGTGCGATTCTTCTTCCTGAAATCACATTTGGGGCGCTAAACCTTAAAAACCCCTTTGGAGATAACAGAAAGGGCCCTGGGACCACACTGCCTATTGGGATTTCTGCTTTGAAGGTTTTCAAGCAAATAGCTTGATGCCCCGGCTCCTGTTGGCATGCATCGTTTTACATTGACGTCGCTGTGGCTTGATCTCGCGAGGTGCATCGTCTGGCATTTTTTTCCGACATTTGTGGTCTTTGTTTGATGCCCCGTCTTACTTTCCCGCACACGGCTCGTGTTGGCATGCGTTGCATTGCGCTGACGTTCGCTGTGGCTGGATATCGCGAAGTGTATCGTCTTGCAGTGACGGTGTGTTGTTTTCCAAATTTGTGCTGTTTGCTTGATGCCGCGCCTTACTTCTACATCGACGGCTGCTGTTGGTATGCGTCGTCTTGCATATACCTTTTTTCCTCCGAGTATCATGGTCTGTGTTTGATGCCCCGGCTTACCTTTAAAATCACGGCCCCGGCTGCGCATTTACAAGAAATTAAAACTTCATTCATTATCTCGTATTGGCAAAAGAAACTGCAGGAAATCCAAAACGCAGACCAGGAATCTCAGCCAGCACTGCTTCCTACTACATCCTACTACCCCGGAAGCCCCCGCCTCGCGAAGTTCTGGAGAACGTGGTGCGAAGGCCGCCCAAGCTCTCGAGTGCGGTTGAGCTACTCTAATCGAATAATAATGCCACTATCTGGTACACTGGGGATACGCGGTTTCACAAAGGACGCACTACGCCACAGCCCATTGGATTGGCAAGCCTCGGCATTTTAGGGTTGGGGCTCTAAGGTTGTTTGGGGTTACAATCTTCAGGGGGATGCGAAGTTCAAAAAAACACGTTCAGACTCACAGCCAAGTAACAGCTACTGCACGTGTTTCGGCTGCTTCGGTTGCTTCTGCGCAGCACTGCTGCACCACTGTAAGCTTTCTCCTCTCGACATTGCCGAGCGCACTGCGCCACAGCCCATTGGATTGTCAAGCCTCGGCATATCAGGGTTGGGGCTTTAAGGTTATTCGGGGTTACAGTGTTGAGGGGATCTTCTGTTCCAAAAACACATTCAAACTTACAGCGAAATCACAGCTACTGCACATGCTTCGGCTGGTTCTTCACATCACTGCTGCGCCACCGTAAGCGCTCTCCTCTCGACATTGCTGAGCACACCGCGCCACCGCCCATTGCATTGTCAAACTTCGGCATGTTAGGGTTGGGACGTTTAAAGTCCCTAAATCCCAAACCAAAAACAATATTATTCACGCATCCTAGCTTTTCATGAGGAAGAGACGGAGCCCCGAGCGACTATGTTTAACTCTAGTATTAAGGACCGTCTCATGACTATGGCTACCCTACACCCTACACTACATAAACCGTCCGACCCTGCTCAGCGCACCGCGCCACGGCCGTTTGCATGGTCAAGCCTCGGCATGTTAGGGTTGGGCCTTTAAGGTTGTTTGGAGTTAAAATCTTCATAAATCTTCTTGGGCATCGTCTGTTCCAAAAACACGTTCAGGCTCACAGGCGCATTACTGCTACTGCAAGTAACAGCTACTGCACGTGTTTCGGCTGCTTCGGTTGCTTCTGCGCAGCACTGCTGCACCACTGTAAGCTTTCTCCTCTCGACATTGCCGAGCGCACTGCGCCACAGCCCATTGGATTGTCAAACCTCGGCATATCAGGGTTGGGGCTTTAAGGTTATTCGGGGTTACAGTGTTGAGGGGATCTTCTGTTCCAAAAACACATTCAAACTTACAGCGAAATCACAGCTACTGCACATGCTTCGGCTGGTTCTTCACATCACTGCTGCGCCACCGTAAGCGCTCTCCTCTCGACATTGCTGAGCACACCGCGCCACCGCCCATTGCATTGGCAAGCCTCGGCCGTTACGTTGGGATTTTCAAGCTCCGTAAACCTTAAACCTTAAACCCTAAACCCTCAACCGTAACGAACCCTAACCCTAAACCCCAAGGGATTCTGAGGCTCCGGGCAATGAGCCAATTCATGATGCCCATGTTGGGTCCACGGATAAGAGAGTCTAAAGGCCGAGGGGTTCAAGGTTTCACGTTCTTACTTGTTTGAGAGGGGGAGCTTCCACGGTCCACCCTCTGCTCGAATTGAGGTGGTCGTGGTCGCGGAAGGCTGTGGAGACACACTGCTTCAGGGCTTAGGAGAATTCGGAGCATCGAGTGTATGATGCTTTGCACGGCAGGGCTATCTGTTTGCGCTAACGACGAGCATTGGACGAAGGTGGAAACAAGAAGACCAACGATGTCGGGCCATGGTTGAAGGCCGGAAACTTTCAAGTAGCGAAGCTTTCAGAGCCATTTTTAATTAATCCTAGTCTTTCGGGAAATGAAAGGAAATTTGAGCGACCATTTTTACTCGATATGAGACGTGTGCAACTTGTCGCATTCATCCACGATTTCCGGGAATTGAAACGGATCACGACCGACTCTTTTTGACCCGCCCTAGCTTTCAGGGAGTTGCAAGGAAATGTTAGCCTAGTTTTCCGGGAGTGGATGGAACAGCACGCGACTATCTTCCCAAGAATTACCGGGAACTTTGGGCGACGATTTTTAACTCATCCGAGCTCTGCCGAATTCGAAAGGGATTCTGCGCGACTATTGTTAATTAATCCGACGTTTCGATTCGGAAAGAACCGTGAGCGACTACTGTTAACTGGTCCTAACTTCCAAGGAATGGCAAAGAACCGTGAGCAAGTTCTTTAAATTCACCCTAGCTGCTCAGGAACTGGAAGGAAAACAGAGCAATTTTCAAACGCGTTCTAAGCTTGTCGGTAATTGGAAGGAACCGCGAACGACCATTTTAATTCACCCGAGCTCTTCAGAAATTGAAAGGAAATCTACGCCATCATATTTAACTCATCCGACCTTTTCGGGAATTGGCAGGAACCGTGAGCGACGATTATTAGCTCATCCTAGCTGATGATAACATGAAAGAAGCCATGACCGACGATCTTTTGGTTCGGTTTATCTTCCAGGGAATTGCATGGAACTTTGAGCAACCAATTTTAGCTCATCCTAGCTTTGCAACAATTGGAAGGAGATGTAAGCGCTTGTTTTTGATTCGCTCTAGCTGTTCGGAACTTGAAAAACATCCGAGCGTTTATTTTTAGTTCGTTCTAGCTGCTCCGGAACTGGAGGGAACCGTGAACGACGCTTTTTAACTCGTCCTGCCTTGCGAAAAACCGTGAGCGACTCTTTTTAACTCGTTATATCTCCACGGATTGCAAGGAACTGCGAGCAACTATTTTCTATTTTTCCTAGCCTTCGGAAGGGCCATGTAATTCATACTTGTTTCTAGCGAAATGGAAGGGACCGCACGAGCGACGATTTTAAATTCATCTTATCCTCTAAAGAATTGCAAGGAACCGCGGGCGACTCTTTAAGTGCAAGGAAAGCTGGCCAACCACGCACACCTGATTTACATTACAGCACACGAAGCGCGTAATCGCAAAATCAACGAGGCAAACGGGATTCTGAGGCTCCGGGCAGGAGCCAATTCATGATGCCCATGTTGGGTCCACGGATCTAAGGGTCCAAAGGCCCAAGGTGTTCAGGGTTTTCATCAGGTTGTAGGGCGTCTGCTACTTGGATTTTCTGGTTTGTCGTTGCGCAACAACTGAAGCATGCAAAATGGCTGCTGGCTCTCAGGACCTGGGTTGTTCTGCATGCAGGACCGGTCGACAAGCAGGCAAGCCTGAAATCAGATGGCAAGGGCGCTTTTTCACGCTCAAGCCAGCAGAAACGTGTTTTCTTGAAATCGGCGCCCTATTCATAGCCACTCTAATAACCCGAAGCCTCCTCCTCCTCCTCCTCCTCCTCCTCCTCCTCCGGCTCTTCCTCCTCCATGTCTTCGCAAGCTTCTGCGGCATCTCGGGATCCCTCCTCCATGTCCTCTTCCCCGTAGCACTCTTCATGTCTGGAGCGAAAGTTGTCCGGGTGGTAGAAAATGTAGCCGCAGGTGAAGCTGCGGGTTGCCCGGTCGTACTTTGCGCAACTGAACATTCGGCCGTAGGCCTCGTATCGGCTACTCCACCATGCTTTCCAACTCGCCGTTGGCAGATGGCACCATGGACACGGATGCTTTTCGCCTGGAAGATCGTCCCAGGACGGGCACTCCGGGACATCTTCCGGCCACTCAGGCCGCACCGCCGTATCCTCGTCCGGCTCCGCCTCGCGGCGCTCCTCCGAGGAATCGGCCTTTCGCACCACTTTGCGTGTGGCTTCCTTTTTCTCGCGCTTTGCTTTGGCCACAATTGTTCTGGCCGCCTCCTGGCGGGCTTCTTTCAGGATCTTTCCCCGGATGTAT